CCACCCGTGTCCCCTGAGACGCGTAGATATGTACCTAGAGATTACAAGCCATGCATGGTTTGTAATCGGGGCGATGTAGAGACAGAGTACCATTTTCTGCTAATCTGCAATGTGTACAAAGATCTCTTCCAAATGTACTAACTCCAGAAACACTGTGTCCATCCGTCACTTGGAAAATCACACATGATCATGTCTACCTGAAATATAACATTTTTAATAAATCAGTTACCTTTATCTACCCTGCAATGGATGCTTCCTGACTTATAGTAGTACGTTCTGCAAGCTCTATATCCCACCCATCCACTATAGCAACATCATCTACCACCATATCTCAATAAGCAATTTCCGTCAAAATTGGTTTTTGGGGGGTGGGGTAACATTGTATACAATATCTAAGCCCCTATGTAATATATTTTCATTTTGTTTTTCGTATAGGATAGTGCAGTGGTTCAGGCAGATTTTAATACCCAGGTATAGTGGTTTTATTGTCACAATTCAATGGAATTAGTGTTTTACCTACTCACAAGATTTGAAAATGAAGTAAAAAAACATGATTTTTACCAATGTTTCCACTGGGAATTAGAATAACAGTTAAATGAAACAAAATGTTTGCCAAATTCAGATAACTGAACACATTACCTGTAATCAAAGACATAATTTGGATAGTTTAATGACTTAATAAAAATGTAACAGCCAATTTTGTCAAATTATGCATTTTTCCTTCAATTTATGCAATTTTGATCCCCTGAAAACTCCTGCACACACTTGCAAGCTTACTACCGAATGAAAATTGTGTACAGATGCCTCCTTCATGCAATAGAAAAGGTTTAAGGTATACAGGAAAATGTGGGAACGAAAATCGTATGTTTCACCCCTGGCCAACTGACTACTACTCTATGCAGTGTTATAATGTATGGCTGGACGGAGCTGTATGCTGTCTTAGATAATAAACCACGGGCTCATGGCCTACATCTGCACAAACAAAGAATCGAATTGAATAAACTTGGGGTACTAAAAGTGGGGCGGTCTATTTGGAGTGTATTTGAAAAGACATGGCTGTCGGATAAAATCTCGTTCACAACGCATTATGTATTCAGAGCAGGTTTGCGTTTCAGTCACGGTCTAGGTCTCAAGCCCGACAATAACACCAGCATTATTCTAACCCAGTTCTTCGCGGGTCAGGCGCATTAGGAATCCAGGCAGTCTGTATAACAATTTGACACTTATTACATGAGTCAACGACCTGCGAACGCGCAATCTTGCTGACGGTGATAGATAAACAAGTGGTACAGACTACCCAGTGATTGACAACATGAGCATCGATCTACGCCTTTGGGATTACGGTGACATGCTTCAACCAAGTCACGTAGTCTGACTGCCAGATCCTGCATGTTTAGCCTACATGGTTACATGTAACAGGATTCATAAACCATACATAACTTCCCCTTGGAGTATACCGTGTTCGACGTAATAAGCGCCTAGGGCGCTCTCAAAATTAGAAATCGGGGGCTCTTATTGGAATATTGTTTTATTGAAAAAAACTGAATTGAAAGATAAATTTCGTGGTTTATGCTGACAGCCTTAAATATTTATATACGACAGATATATTTTTCAAGAATTTAATTGCCCATTATTAAGGGTGCATATAACACATGAGTGCGTATTTTACGCGAATAAATAAGTCTTGTGTACATTGATCAATCGGAAGGGGTGCTAATTGGGATTGTTCAACGGCCAATATATCAGCAAATACCGCCGTGGGCGCTTATTAGAGCGGGGCACTTATTACGTTGAATACGATAATAACAATAGCGACATGATGGGGTGTCTCGATCATTTTATTACCGTCTTCGCCATGCTTGTGGTTTTGACACAGAGGTCCTCCAGGGTACGACCCGGAATATGTAGAGGGCGTCATGGAAAATGATAAATACAACATTCTTTGGTATAGGCCCGTATACAGCCTCAGACATATCCAGGCTAACAAACCTGATCTTGTCTTTTTTGATAAATCCAATGAAATCATTTATATTATTGAATTTTCTGTCCCTTTTGACACTAATGTGATTGACAAAATTCAGGAAAAACATGGCAAATATGCGCACCTCGCTTTCGAAATGTCACGCTTGCATCCCAAGTACCAAGTTGTCCGACTCCCCATTTTTCTCGGTGCCTTAGGTTTGGTACCTCCCAATCTGTTGTCTGACATTTGGAGAGTACCCGGGTTCGCTGCCAAGAATACAGCCCTTCTGACAATCTGGGTAATGCAGAAGGATGCAGTGTTGGGGAGTCTCCACATTCTCCAAAAAGTTCTCGCTGGGTTTAACTAGGCAGCGCTACCTGGGGGAAGCATTAGCTGTCTGGGCTACGTGTAGAGGGTGCAAGACCCCTTAGCTGATGATGAGCCTAACCAACCTGACTGTGCCAGAATCACCAAAACCCTCTTTGCCGGAGTTATCTATTTATTTAAAAATAAATAAATATCTAAATATTTATAATCAGAATAAAAGCGACAAAAATTATAAATTATCTGAAAGCAGAGTCCCTTGTACGATTGGGACAATATCATAAGCAAATGAATCACTATCAAGGGATTCATCGGTGGCACCTGTCACAAACACATGCGAAGGCAAGCCAACTACTCACCTGAAACAACACGGGAAGATATGGTACAAGGCAAAATAAGGACTTGAATCCGACATAATTTTTGTCACTACTGCATCAAGTTTGGACATGTCCTCCATATGTCTACCATAACACTTTTGAGAACTTTAAGGCCTTGAATTGTGTAACTATTGCGGTAGAAACAGGGAAATGGTTAACCCCTTCACGACAGACATCCGGTTGCGATACAATAGAATGCATATTGAATGCACGTTTCGACAGCTCTATAACTGACATAACTACAATATACAACGCAGTAAAATTCCTTTAATGTTTCTGCGAGAAGGTTACTCCGGATCTATGTTAACTATTCATAATATTTACCATATGCCAACATCAACAGATCTATGGTTTACCCAGTGTTTGTGAAAGATCTTTCAAATATTTGAACGCTCTCTGATCAGCATTTCAGTTATGTCACGCGTGTCAGCTTGATGCGGGAGGAAAAATGGAAGTCATGTAGGTCAAAAACAAGAATCATAATCAGGACGAACCAGCAATTCGAATCCACCGTCATAGGGTCCTTGTCGAATTCTTTGATTTGAGCGAGTTAGCGAATTTAGTTTTCAAAATTAATAAAAGTCCATTTGTATGACTCTTCTTCATGCTGAATTGCCAGATCATTCTACCGGGTACCCATTCACTGCTGGCTGAACTGTGGCATATTTCGAACAAAGTCACTTGCCCAAAGAGACACCACGTGTGTCACATGTGCTTCAGTCTGGGGCAGGACCGAAGCCCTAGGAGGAAAACAGCCCATCACGGCTGTCCGGCTTGTGCCGATTTGAACAATACTTCAGTTATTTCCAAGCATTTCAGCTTGATGTGGTAGGAAATCCCTAAGTGACGTATGCGGTTTTATGTGTCAGTGTATGTTTTTGTTGAACAATGATTGTAAAAGTGTTATATTGTTTCTGTTGACATTCGATAGAAGCTCATTGCATTGTGTTGGGGCAATGATTATTTGTCAGGAGTGTAGTACTACTAAATGTAAGCAGTCGTAAGGCAGGTACAATATTTAGATGCTAGAGTGGTGTGGTAATTTCATGAAACGGCGAGACTCGTCCAGCATTGTAAAGTGCCTTACAGCACTGGGTAGAAAGTTTTGGAAGCTAGTTAGGCGGTATGTAAGGGGACAAGAGCATGCCTCTCGCATCTCACACATTTCATCACACATTTTCATCTGAGAATACACAAGACCAGCTTTCGTGTGAGGATCACCCCAGACCCATCTCGGAAACTTGACAACCGCCGCTGGGGTAATATACTATCATCACTGACTTTTGCTATCACCACTGTATTTTTGTATTTGACGAGGACCACTGCCATCATATCATATATTGCCATCGAATATTGTACAACCACTCTATCGTGTACTGCCACTGTAATTGTTGTGCAGTAATTTGTGTTGATTTGTAAACCGAGTTAAATTTGGAATACAATTATTAATAATTGTACACCATTTGTTGGATGTTTGTTGGTTTCACACTAAGCTCTTTTACGTACATATTTCAGGGTTAACATATTGTTTCAATTTGGGAATCGACACGTAACAGTGCATGGTGCTGGGATTCGAACCCACGATCACAGTGTTCTGGAACGTCTCGGGGATGCAACTCTGCACAACGAATTGCGCCGTGTTATATGACCGTAATCAGATTACATAGAAATGCAAAGTGTTTGTTTCTTGTCGTGAAAATACGTTTGGTTTATTACAAAACGACAAAGACAATTACGATATATGAACTAATTTCTAGAGCAACGATGAAAGATGTGTTTAATTTTGAGAAAGGCAACCCACGCTGCCATTGCTACTTTGGTTTTAGAACAATTGGAGCAAGCAAAAGACCACTAGGGTTTGAAAAGGAGTATAACCATTGCTGCGCATACGTAAATTAATTCACTTACAACACATGCGCACTATTAATCGAAAAGGGCGGCAACTCGGCAATGCGACATAATCAATATGTCGAATGTTTGCGCATTTTAACGCCTTTTTTACACATTTTTTATGGGACGACAACGCGACATATTTTGACCTTGAAAGATGTCGCGTTGTCGCATTGTCGCCCTTTGGTAAAATGAAAAGCGATATTATTCAAGGCGAGACAACGCGACAATGCGACAAATGGCGGTTATATCGCGTTGTCGCATTGTCGTGCTTTAATTTTAACACTTTTTGCTTGTTTTTGTAAGGGCGGCAACGCGACAACGCGACAGTGCGACAATGTCCCTAATAAGATTCCATACTGAACTAATATCCATTGAAAGGCATAGTTCAGCTCGTCCTTTGACCTAAATGAAATTGTGTCTCTAAAGAAAATCTCATCTTCCCCGAATAATAGAAGGCATAACCCGTGAATGCTCTATAAGTCAAGCCTAACTTTAACACGCCTAAAGTTACGCACATTCAGCACTGATCCAACAGTAGTGGATACACGATGGAAGGCGACGAAAAAGAAGGGACGTTTAAGGGGTAAGATAATTACATTCATCAATTACTATTGGAAGATCCCATCTCCCATCAGTTCTTAGTGTGAAAACGTAATCACTTCTTAAAACAATGTGCATTTTATCAAACTTGAAAAATATCATGTTTAATAGCATAACTGCCATTTGTGAAAAGAAGCTAGTCCCTGGTATGTCATAATTGATAAATAGGAGCTCAGCGCAACTACGACAATGTGCAGTTTCACTCTGTCCATAAGTTTGTTTGTTTGTTTGTTTGTTTGTTGTTTAACGCCGAACTCAGCAATATTCTAGCTATATAACGGCGGTCGGTAAATAATCGAGTCTGGACCAGACAATCCAGTGATTCAAATCATGAGCATCGATCCACGCAATTGGGATACGACGACATGCATCAATCAAGTCAGCGAGCCTGACCACCCGACCCTGTTAGTCGCCTCTTACGACAAGCATAGTCACCTTTCACGGCAAGCATGGGTTGCTGAAGACCTATTCTACCCGGGATCTTTACCGGTCTTGCACACTGGAGGTTACACTTATATATACGCCATGCCATCAGTACCGGGACTGCAGGTGTTTAAGCCTACCTTTTACGTGGTCACCTTTCACGGCAAGCAAGGGTTGCTGAAGACCTATTCTACCCCGGATCTTCAAGGGTATGTCCATACGTGTGTCAACTACACTAAAAGATTTAAATAAATGCAAGACTCTGTTTCTTGCTGCTTCTCTGTGTATAGCCCCTGTCTTGTGTTCATGTTTCAATTGTGATATGTCATAACGTCAGTCATTAATTTCGGGAGAGGGTTACCAAAGTTGTGAAGACATGTGTCCAATCCGTTTGCTTGTGGATAATATAAAATGTATGTTTAAATCAAACGGTACCAAATGAAGTAGCCTTACTGTCCTATCACAACTAAGCAAGCAGTCTTCTAATATCTGCATCTGTAGTCTAAAGCTGTTAAAACGCATACAACTCTATATAAGGTTCATGCGACCAACGACCACCGATACCCGATAGACAGGGCGTCAATATCCATCAAGCCAGTCAAACCTGTTTAACGGTCCCGACAACGCGAAAACCGGGCGCAAACAAATGAATCATTTCACAACGCAGTTGGCAAACTTTCAAGTCGTTATCAGACCGTGAAGCTATGAAAAAGGGAAAGCATATCCACATGTAGCTGAGTTCTTGGACTGCTCGGCGCTGTATTAGACTAAGAGAATGGTCATTAATTATATGGGACAATATGTAGGGGCAACTAATTTGATGTAGGATGGGGTGTCATGAAAATTATATTACAGAAAATGATGTGTGTGTGTGACGAAGCTTGATAGTCTAAGGCCAATCTCCCCCCCCCCCCCCCCCCCCCCCCCAAAAAAAAAAAAAAAATGAAAAGAAAGGAGAACAAAAGAACACACACCCTATTATAAATGTCCAGAATCGATCTGAGTTGTTCAAGGAGGACATCGTCGAGATACAAAGGAGTCGCCGTAGGCCACAATCTCGGCAGATGCTCGGCAGATGCTTCATGTCACTCTCTTTTGTTGTGCATTGGAGACACTGAAACCGTCCTTTTTAGGGGACCGTTTAAGCCTAGAATTGTTACGGGGAATTAACTCCGGGATCTCCACGCCTTCAAAAACAGACAGAGAGGTTTTCAGGCGAAATGCAGGAATGTTTATTAGATATGACGTCAAAATGGCACAACATACATTCACATCATCTCAGTATTCTATTTCATAGTTTAGACATCATAATAAGCAATTAAATAGTACAGCATTAAGATATTGAAATGATAATGAGTTACATAAAAGATACCATATTATCTTGTACAATGAGTTCATTATTACAGTATAGTAAAATATTTTCACTTAATAATTCATTCCGAATATTCTTAAACTTAATTACCTCAGAATTGAATTTAATTGATAAATAAGTAAAGTACTTTACTGGTGCCTTGTTGAAAATATAACAATGATTTCATAGTTGTAACCAGGATAACTGCGGGACAACTACCTGGGGCTTAAGCCGGGCGTCACGGTACGTGCACCACGTGAACAATGGCTGGCGGCCTTCATTATGACGAGGGCATTCGTCACCACTCGCCCCTTTCCGTAACCTGCAAGAAGACTCGTCCCCCTATCGATGAATGTTATGTGCGAAAATACGACAAACCAATCAGAATGCGCGTATGATTTCAAGTACTTCGTCAAAGAATCCCTCAGAAATAATTTTTGATTTTACATATGTCTTGCATCTAAAAATATACCCAAGACACAGTTAAATGTGTTCAATCAAACTGTATAATTTCGCATGTCCTGATGTACTTTTAATTGCATCTGAAATATAAATGATATATGGGGAAATATATGTGAACCATTGCGCAACGAGTTGACAATTGTTTTAGGTATGCCCGTTTGCGCTAAGACGGAACCTGGTTGCAAAAATGGCCACGAGAGGGGCACGAGTCGCTATATTCGGCTTGTCCCGGAATAACACGAGTTGGTCACGAATGTAACGAGGGGTTATGGGCCGGAAGAGCGAAACCTAGCCATATTCAACTCTAAAATCTCTCGCTTTCGTGAAGCTACAGTTAGACTGGTCACGCTACAGTAAACACGGGATATTGCTATACCGGGACTCTCAAATTACAAGAAAAACCCAGAAATGCGTATACCGTAATTACAGTAGTAATTTATTAGATGCTGAAGTATAGTATAGTTGCACAAAAGTACTTTACATTTAACAAATTTAATAACTCTAATACTTTAATATTTCATAGATGTACATTAAAATATCTACAAAAACAACAATAACATATATCTTAAAATATATAATGGTAAATACATAAATACTTTCTATAATAAATTTGCGGTTGCACTGGCATACACGTTGTGTTCAAGTCATTCACTCCAAGGGGATCAGGTGACCAACGTGATCTGTGAACTCAACGTCGCCGATGACGTTGTTGACGAGATTGTCTTTCAGAGCCTGAAGACGGTTGTCAATCAGCCGGTATCTTCTCTTTCTGGGTGGTGCTGACCAGTGGGCTCCAATTCGTTGAATGGCGACTTCTACGTTGGATTGCTCTCTTTGAAATAGCGTAACAACTTCAAAAATGTTCGGATGGCCGCTTGAAGAATGCCGTTTTCAGTGATCACCGACGCTCTGCAGGCAGCAACAACGCAGTTCCAATACTTCTTCTCACGGGCCGTTTTCTTACAACGAAACTTGAATCCCTCATAAAACAAGTGCTGACCACCTCGCACGGTATCAACCATGGTCACTCGAACTTGTGCATTAGCCATTTTGGACATAGATAAATAAGTTGCACGCTTTATATATACCATCAAATACATACTGTATGTATTCTTAAGAAACGACTCTCCTCTAAACCCATCAGTATCATAACCCATATCAACTAAGAAACTAATTGTTTGTTCAATTAAGAAACTGATCATCTCTTCTCCTGTGTTTAAACATCCAACTGTATTATTTTTTTACGAAACGACTCTCCTCTCCTCTCCTCTCCTCTCCTCTCCTCTCCTCTCCTCTCCTCTCCTCTCCTCTCCTCTCCTCTCCTCTCCTCTCCTCTGTTTGAACAGCACGGGCGCTAATCTAAACTACGGACATCCGGTGTTTTTATAGCAATTACTCATTTCTCGCCTTCGTAGGACAAATACCCCAACTTGGGTTATTGCTTTACTGATACTAGGGAAAATTGGATTTTCGCTAACCTGGCACGACACCATAACGAGGTAACTGCCGACACTTACTTCAAGATAATGATTATTAAACATTTTAACACTAATCAAAAACTTCTGACGTTTACCAATTATAAGTAAATAACTTATAACATAAGAAACAGTTTATAAAAGAAATGCTGGATATTGTATTGTAACTCTTATCTACTAGACTGCCACTGAATTGCCTGTACCTTTATAGACTATTCTACGATATGAAACACAAAATCTACCGGCGCTTCACGATAGTGCGGATGCACTTATGTGATAAATAGTTAAAAGACATTGCCGAATCTGTGCGTATTTAGCTACAGAAACAGTGTTACTTTTCGTGTATTGTGTTCTAGACATATACGGTCACAGACTGGTTATCTTTAAATACATACATTTAGCTGCCGATGCTATGCTACTCATTATAATGAAACAAGAAATGTTTCCTGTGAAAATACAAACAGTGAGACTAATTAATAACATGATCAAAAATATTAATGCAGATAATAGAACACGTTGACCACCAAGTCACTTGATACAGAAACGTTATACACGTTGAACATGATGTTTAATAAGCATCCATAACTAAAATGGCGTAATATGTTAGATTGATATTTAAACTACTAGAATACTAACGCTAGTATTTTATCCGGGACGCTCTATTATTCTCTATTATTCAGTATAGTATTTGATTTCTAGATGAACTGTAAATCCCAAATCGTAGATTTCGAACAATGCATTTTGAATAATTGTAACATAAGTTCATTGTACCAGCAGAGTAACAAAGTAAGAATTATTTACACCACGTTTAACAAAAATGGCAAAGTAATAAGTAAAAGTAACTTACCTCCAAAAACAGACAGAGAGGTTTTCAGGCGAAATGCAGGAATGACTCTATGCCAAGATACCCCTGCATTTATACCCGAGACCTCCAGTCCACGTTTGAAAGCATGTCACTACCCATCTGTCCAGTTTGGAATTGATAACAATGGTTTGCCACATGGTGGTCAAATTATGCAAGTTTTGATGTGCTGACTTGCTTAGTTAATTGTTTATTGGCTGGTCGGCTGTGTCTGAATCTGGTCAGCCGGGTCTAGAATTTATATAGCGCTAGCTGATTAGCATCTACCTGCTCGTTTGACTGGTTTTGACAGCTTGCATCTACAAGCGTTACGTATTATGATAGACGTCCTGTAAACTATGTTGCATTTACTGGCTTGGGAACGTGAAACTTAAAGTACTAGAATATATTTGATTTTGATAAAACTTGAA